ACCTCCATGTTTGTTCAAAACCCCAGACTGTGGGTCACTGGGAGCCAGGGCAAGCAGAGGGCAGACTGGGACACCGGGTCCCACCCTCCCCAAGGTCCCCTCACCAGGCCACTGCGGCTGGGCCGGCCCCCGACGGAGGAGGCAACGGAGCTGACGGAGCTGATGGAAGAGCTGCTGGGGCTGTGGGTCAGCGCGGAGACGCCCATGGCCATGCGCTTGGTCTTCTTGGCCTTGGCCGGGCTGGTGGATGGGAAGCCGATGCGGAGGACCTTGTGGATGGGTGCGAAGAGACCAAACTTGGGTGGGCACTGGAAGTACCTAGGAAGCAGGGGAGACCCACGCTGCCACTGCGGCCCCATCTCACCTCCCACCTCTTCTAAGCCCAGCAGAGACGGGCACCTATCTCTGGCCACCCACACCCGGGCAGAGCCCTCCAGGCAGAGGGACAGGATTCTCAGAGGAATGGAGGTGACCAGGGCCCCAGCGTCCCTGCAGCTGCGAACTCCTGCTGGGAGTGCTTTTGGGGGGTGGGGAGACACCAGTCACAGGATTCAAGTGCCCATCCCTGTACGGGGACGTTCATCTCACCTCCCCAGTGTTGTCTATATTCATGAACGAGGACATTAGGCTCAGAGAGGTCAAGAGACTGGCTCACCATCACACAGCTGGTTTGGTGGCATGTTGGGGTACAAAGTCCCCAAACTTGGCTCCCAAAGGACCCCCAGCCATGGCTGCAGCCCTGTTCTCACAGATATCCTAAATCACCCCCAGATCAAGGAGTCCCATGAGCTCTCTGTCAAGGAGTCCCCCACACAGAGAAGCAAAAGCCAGCAGAAGACACCTTGGGCTGGGCCAGGCAGGGGCGGCTGCCTGGCAGCTCCTGAGTTGAGAGCGGATGAGAGTCACCCACCCCCAAACAGGAAGGCATACATTGTCATGGAAACCGTGGACTCTTCTGCTCCCAAAGCCACTCCAGTCCCAGGCAGCACACCGGACTACAAGGTCCCACCAGGTGCTCACGCGCTGGGGGGCTGCCACCATCCCACCCCCTGGCCAGCGACCCACCTTCCTGCCAGGTAAAGGGCACCCTGGCTCAGGGCCCACCTGGCTCCCAGCCCACCCAGTCCCTGTTGCCCCTCCCCCCAGTCTCCGGGAAGCCCTGCTACCTGGTGCCTGCCACCGCCCCGTCATTCTTCCCAAGGGGCTCGTCCAGTTCCACGCCACACCACTCGCCCTTGGCAAAGTCTGTCTCTCCCACATACCGCACCACGCCAGTCTTCGTCCCACCAACCTGTTGGCACACAGAGAGATTTTTTGGGGGGTCTGGAGGACAAGGCAGGCACCATGGAGACAGTGTGAGCACCTGGACTTATCCCATATGGGCAGGGGGCACACTCGGAAGAGGAGGCTCACAAACAGCTGGGAGGGACACAGGTTCCAGTGCCTCCCAGGCTGACCCATTTGAGAGCACAAACAGGCTGGGGAGGGACATGTATCTGCACTCAAATGTAGCCACCGACAAGCTGTGTGAGCCTCACCACCTTCACCCGTAAGGACTTTTGTGAAAATTAAGTACTGTAGATGGAGTTGGATACCAGAAACGCATCACAGGTAGCCCTGAAAAGCAGTTTGAAGGTGGTGTGGGGGTCCTGCCAGGGAGGAAGTTACTGTTAACAGATCCAGAGTTTCTGTTTTGCAAGATGAGAAAGTTCCATGGGTCTGCTGTGCAGCAACGTGAGTGAGTTTAACGCTGCTGGCCTGTGTACTCAGTGAGGGCTGGGACGGTCGATCCTATGTCATGTGGTCTTCATCACAGTGCAAAAAAAAAAAAAAAATCACAGGACAGGATAATAAGAAAGGTGGCTTGGGAGGTGAGGCAAGTTCAAAGCCGGCCTCAGCAAAAGCAAGACGCTGAGCAACTCAGCGAGACCCCGTCTCTAAATAAAATACAAGAGGGCTGGGGATGGGGCTCGGGGGTTTAATCACCCCCAGGTTCAACCCTTGGTACCAAAAAAAGAAAAGAAAGAAATGTGGACATTACTGCAGCAGCAGTTTTAAAATTCCAAAGTCCCAGCTGCACTTGTGAGTATCTGAGTCAAATACTTGCAGAGCATCGGGAAAGCCCCAGTTTCTCTCCTCTCCCCACAAGCAATCACTTGGAACCGGGATGACTCTCCTGTTGACCTCCCTGTCTCTGAGCAACACGCTGACAACCTCGAGGTTTTGATTTTTACTGTCTTAGCTGATACAAAGCTGGGGTGACATTCTGACTGCATCCCCTTTACTTGTGCCTTGGTTTCTGCAGGGCTAGGGTTGGAGTCCCGGGCCTCGAGCGTGTGAGGCGGAGGCGCCACCTCTGAGCCCCACTACCTTCGCTCTGAAGTGCAGCTGGATGGACCCTAGAGAATCTAATCTCCGAGTCCCCTGCTATCCAGGGTCCCTTGCAACTCCCAAAGCCATATGGAGTCCCAGCCCATATGTGGGAGTACCTGTCCACCCAGGAGCCCCGCGGCATGCCTATGTCCCAGGTTCTGTGGCTTCTCCTTCCCTCTGCGGGCTGCTGTCCTGGCTGCCCAGGGGTCAGGCACCTGCCGACTGTGGGGTGCTGCTCCAGTCCTTCCCGACCCCAGCCTCCCTCCCCAGGACCCCTCCTTCTGCAACCCCAGCCCCTGCGCCCTCAGTGAGCGCGAGTTCCTGTTGGTCCTCTCTGTCTTTGCCCATCCCTTTTTGCCCTCCTTTCTCAGACATCTCCGACACATCCATGGGGCTTATTTCTGCACTCACATCTTTCATCTCCAGAGTGCCTTGGCTCACCGAATGGAGTCCCTGTGAACATTCAGGCCATATGAATATTCATGAGCATGAATATGTATGTGGGCATGTTGAGTGGCACCATGTTCGGCTCATGCCTGCACCACTTTCTCTTGTTCTCATTTTCCCTGGAGAAGCTTCTTGTCATCTCCACCATGGAAGGCACAGTTTAGGCCACCAGTGTCAGCGGGTGAGAGAGGAGGAGACTGGCTGGGGACAGGGCTCCGCCTCCAGAGCAAAGTGTTCCTCTCACCCTCCTTCCTCAGCCCACGCTGCCTGGATCCCCTCACCCGAAGGTTGTCTTGGACCCTCTTCTGGGGCCAAGTGTCCATCCCACAGAGGGATGGAGGAACAGCCACCAGGGTCAGGGGGGGACTAAAGATTTTTCAACCAAGCCAGGCATAGTGGCTCGTGACTGTAATCCCAGCAACTTCAGAGGCTGAGGCAGGAGAATTGTAAGTTGGAGGCCAGCCTCAGTAATTTATCAAGATATTGTCTCAAAATAAAAAATAAAAATAAAAAGGGGCTGGGGGCAGCTGGGGTCATGGCTCAGCAGTAGAGCGCTCACCTCGCACGTGCGAGACCCTGGGTTCGATTCTCAGCACCACATAAAAAAATAAATAAGTGAAATAAAGGTATTGTGTCCAACTACAACTAAAAAAATAAATATCTTTTAAAATAGGTCTGGGGTGTACCTCATGGTAGAGCCTCCCTGGTTCAACCCCCAGTTTCATTAAAAAAAAAAAAAAAAAGGCAGCCCTGACTTTGCCTGGTTCTGAAGGTCACACAGTGGGAATAATCTAGCCCATCGACTTTTCAGGCTGGCTGTCACTTACCAATACACATGATGGCCTTTCTAGGCCAAATGGCTTATTTCTTCCCATTGCCGAAAAATGTCCCGATGGCAGATGTGCCACTGCCCAAGGCCACACAAGGTCCTCCCAGTGGCCAGGCTGAGTTGTGGCCATTGGGAACCTGCTGCTTTGAGCAGCAGTGGAGGGTTGTATGGCTTCCAGCTCACCTGGGTGAACACCAGGGGAGTGACAGCTGGGTCACACAAAGACATGTTTACTTTTATTAGAAATGGCTAACTGTCCTGAGTGGGAGTGACAGTCACGTGGCTCCCGGCCGCCCTAGGAGCGGTGTCATCGGTGTCTGGGCCTCGCCCCCACACAGGCCAGCTCTGCACCCTGCAGAGTGGATACCCCTCACTGGGATCCGCTCCTGTCTCCACCCAGAGTCCCAGGAATGTCCACTCCAAGGCAGGTTTTGCTGAGTGAATAAAAAAGGTGGCTGCCACTGCCCCTTCCTGTGCCCCGAAGGCTGTTGTTCAGGGCCAGGCCACCATCCCTGTCTAGAAGATGGGACATAGCACCCACCCTGTGTGACAGTGGACAGGCCCAAGGTGACAAGGCACAGAGTGCTGGACACAGTGCCCAGGTCGGGGCTCACTCCCAAGGACAGACTGCAGCCCCGGTGGGCTGAGAGCCCAAGTGGCAGCCCCTGGAGGACCAGCCCTGCTGCTGGGCCAGGTGGGCGGTCCTCCCTGTGTGCCCAGCCTCTGGGCACTGGACACCCGACACAGATAGAAATGTCCACTCCCTGCAGGGAGCAGGGACCCAAGGCTGGTCAGTAGCATGCAGAGCCTGAGCTTCCCACTCCACAGGGGTCAGGAACCCACAGGGGGTCACGCATCCTGCCTCCCCTGGGACCTGCCCTGCAGCCGGTCGGCTCTTGACTTCGGATCCCGAACCCACACTGGGCAGCAGGGAACCTGCCTCTCGGGCTTTCTGCAGTCTCCACTGTAAACAGGTGAAGCCCAGCCCCACCAGGGCCTCCCAGGCCAGCCTCGGGGTGTGGTCCTGCCCCGAGGCTCCTTGCTCCCTGCTCAGACCCCTGCTCCTCTCCAGCTTCTCTGGTCTCTCTGGCCACTGGTCAAGAAGCTCCTGGGGCTGGAGACATGGCTCAATTGGTGGAGCGCTTGCCTCACATGGACAAGGCCCTGGGTTCACTCCCCAGCAACCCAAAAAAAGAAGCGTGTGTCTCTGTCACCTGGTTATACCCAGCTGCAGACCATATCTTAAAGCCCTGGTCCTCAGGGAGGCCCTACTTGGGAAGTGGGGTGCAGTTCTTCCAGGTCCTGGAGGTATGCCCTTGAGGGGGGCTGGGGGACCCCAGCTCTTCCTCTTTGCTCCCTGGCTATGAGGTGAGTGGTTGGGCCCCACCGCCCCCCAGCCACGACGTGCCACTCCATGCCCAAAGCCACAGGTTAATCAATCACGGACTGCAGCCCCCAAACCCCTGAGCTGAAATAAACCCTTTTTCTTTGTAAGTTAGCTGCTTGGGTATTTGCTACAACCACGACCGCTCTCAGCATGCCGGCCACTCCCCAGACTCAGCCCTAACAATGTCCCCCAGGAAAGGCCTCTGAGCAATGGGGACTGCTGCTTCAGGGCAGTCTGTGGGGAGATAACCAGGTCTGTAACACCATCTCCCCTCCCCTGCAGGCTGGAGGCTGCCGGAGGCAGGAATCAAGTCTGGCCATGCTCATCACAGGGCCACCCCAGGAGAAGCTCCCGAGGGACAGCCAACCCTGAGGCAGCCTAGGGGGGCATGGGGCTCAGAGAGAGGTGGGCCTCAGGCTGGTCTGAATCAGGCTCTGTGCCATCACCAGACAGGTCACTCAACTTCTCCAGTCATGTAAAGCAGGGGCCAAAGCTTCTTCACAGCACCAGCCCGAGGGTCCAACTGGCCCTAGGCACAGACACTTCCTCTCCCTCCTCCACCCCAAAGGCTGTTCCCAGAAGCCTCTGGGAGAAACCTTGGTTTGGGGGAGCAGGGTCTACAGGGCAAAGAGAGGGGCCCAGACAGCCATACCCTTGGGGACCCCACTCTGGGGTCTTGTGGCTCCAAGGTGAGCCCCGCTCTCCCCAGTCAAATGCCTCCCATCGGCTGCTCATGCCAGGCCACCTTCAGGGACTTCCCTGTGTGTTGTCCCCTTCGCAACACTGTGGTCCTGGGAGGGCAGAGACAGCTGGGACACATCAGGTGAGGCTCTGTCCCGTTCATCTTGGTACCCCTCAGTCTGGCCATAGCAGGTACCCAGGAAATATTGCCATGTTTAGAGTATAGAAGGACAGATCCAGATTCCAAAGGAACTGGGGGCCACCGTCCACTTTCTAACATTTGGGACCACCAGAGAAGAGGGACCCCTGGAAGGAAGCCTTCAGTGACCCAATTCTCCTGGCCTCAACAACACTGGTCATTCAGGTTATAGCTGACTGGGCATGGGTACCGCCTGGCCCTGGGCAGGGGCTGGGAGCACTGGTGCCCAGCCTTCTCCAGGGCACATCTGGTACAGCCATGTTGGCAGGCTGGATAAATGGATAATGTCAAAGATGGCCAGTATTTATGGGGCATTTGAGTAAAAATCAGTGACTATGTGAAGGCAGGACAGTAGTAACACATTTCAACCTTCCAGTCAGGTGCTATTAAAGTTGCCATTGTGTAGATGAGAAGGCTGAGGCTCAGAGAGGTTCAGATGCTCACCGAGGTTCACATAGCAAGTCTCCAGAGCCTACTTCACCTGGCTCCCTTGTCCCTTGGTGTGGTGCTGACGAGGACATGCCCAATTGTGGACTCCCTGTAAGCTTAGCCTCCAGTCCTCTTCCTGTCTCCTCCCTGCAACTTGCCTCTCTGGGTGCCACCTGCACTCACCAGCACGCGGTCTCCCAGGCGTAGGTCCTTGTCGCCCCGCTTCACAGAGCCGCTGTCCGAGAGGTTGGAGCCCGACTCGTTGCCGGTCTTAACAGAGCTGTTGAGGACGCTCTCCCGCAGCGGGATGACGCGGCTGGTCAGCGGGGGCGTGGCCGTGCCAGAATGCAGCGACAGATTCTGCGCGGTGAGCGACTCCACCGAGTGGGCATCGCTGCCCGAGCCCTCGGCCGTGGGCTGCCGGGTCAGCTTGGAGGGCCGCGTGAAGATGCCCTGCAGCGCCGGGCACTCGAAGTAGCGCACGCCGCCCACAGCGCCGTCGTTCTTGCCCACGGGGTCGTCCAGCACCACGCCTGCCCACTGGCCCGGCGCGAACTGCGTCTCACCCAGGTACTGCACGACGCCGGGCTTCACGCCGTTCACCCACACACGCTCGCCCACCACCAGGTCCCCCAGGAAGTCGTCACCCACTTCGGCCGCTTTCGAGCTGGGCTTCTCCGGGGCTGCGGTGGAGGACGGCGAGCTCGAGGCCTGCTTGTGCAGTGGGGAGCCTGTGGACAGGGGGGCTCAGGGTTAGGACCAAGCCTGGCTGGGGCACATGAGCCTAGTGAGCAGCAGCAGCATGGCCCTGGGTAGCCCCTGGGCACTCCCCACCCTCCCAGCCCTTCTGGAAGGTCTCAGCGCTAAGAAGGGCTTCCTGGCAAGCAAGGTCACTTCCACTGCCCAAGGTCACTCAAGATTCATAGACCCATCCTAGGGGATGCCAAGCTGCCACCTCCCCACGGGAGGATTCAGGCCTCAGCTCCTAACTGGAGACCACCAGGACCCTGGTGGGACCCAGATGTTAAGGGAGTGGTCTGTGTCCTCCTCCTTGATTCAGAGGGTTCGAGAACCTACTGCAGGTTCCTAAGCTGCTCCTCGGCAGCCTCAGAGTGTCTACCACCAAACTCCCTCCCCACCTCCTCCAGCAGCAGCCCCAGCCCAGGGCCAGCCTCAGACAGTGCCAGGGGTAGCAGGCACCTAACTTGCTTCCTTCTTGGGGCTGAACCCCGGGCTCTGGTCTGAACTGGTGTTGAGGGTCCCCTGGGCCAGCCCCTGGGCTCAGAGAGGCAAGGGCCTTGCTCAAGGACACACAGCAGCAATGGGGCTCCAAGGGAGGACGTCTGCTGCCAGGCCTGGGCTTGGGCGTGCTGCGGCAGGATGGGGAGCAGCTCACTCAAGGTCACGCACAGAAAGGGCAGGGCTTGAGCTGTGCTCTGGGTGTGCCTGGCTGGCTCCACTCTGAGCTGCCTGAGGGTTGGGTCCTACGCAGCCTCCTATGCCAACCATCACCCTCTGAGCCACTCCCTGTCCCCTAGCCCAGCCCAGGGTGAGGCTGCCCCCACCATGCCACCGAGTCAAGCATCAGGGGAGACTTCACAGGCAGATGGGCCTTGGCTTGGGGCTGGGGGCAGAGTACTGCCAGGCCCCCCCAGAGCTGCCCATTTCTAGTCCTTCCCACAGCCAGCCAGAGAAGGGCCATTGGACAGCGGCTAACACCACCAGGGTGCAGCCTGGCCAGGTGCTCTGAGGAGCCAGAAAGCCACTGTCCTGCAGGGCTGCAGCAGAAGTATAGGGGAGAGCAGGGTGGGCTCTCTGCCGCCAACGCAGCCACCCTGAGCCTGGGCGGTCACCCAGGGGAAGGTGCATCCCGCGTGAGAGCCGGGCTCTTGGGAGTCCAAAGAGCTTCCCTGCAGAGGCCTCACAGACACCCATCCAGGCTCTGCGCGGGGAGCCTCCCCTCGTCCTCTGCCCCATTTACAGGTGAGACAACGGAGGCTCAGAGCTACCAGGTGCTTTACCATGGCTCCCAGATGGTGGGCAGCAGAGCCGAGCTCCAGCCAAAGGCCTCTGGCTCTTGGTGCCGGCACTTGGGTTCATCCAACAGGGTGTATCAGCACCCACCATGTGGCCATGGTCACCCCAGAACTTGGATTCCCCTGAGGGATCAGGTCCCAGAGTCTGAGGGAACCCTGCGGCTCTCTACAGAGGAATGGCATCTAACCCTCCAGCTCAAGGACCCCTGTGTCTTGCTTAGAGGGAAGTTCTGGGTGGGATCCTAGGCTGCAGAGCCCAAGACTCTCCTCTCCCACAATGACTCCAGGAGGCAGGCCCCCGTAGCTGAGGGAGCTGGCCTCAGGGCCCACAGACCTGCAGTCAGGTGCTCTCCCTGTCTCTCCATCTGCTACAGGCTTTTCCTGGGAGACAGGCATAAAGTGCTAGGCCACACAAGGGGGTTTCTACGAGAATGATTCATACTCCACCTCAGGGACTGAGACTTGGTCTGGGGGATGGGTCTCTGAGGACAGAATCCAGGGGGGCCCCAGCCCAGTCCTTTTGAAATTTGGAGAAAGGGTCTTGCTAAAGTTGCCCAAGTGGACTCGGCTTTGCAGTCCTGCCTCAGCCTCCAGGGCCGCTGGCACTGCAGGCTTGTGCCACTGCACCTGAAAGGCCCAGGAGGTGCAAGAAGGGCTTCCAGGCAGGCTCTGGTGACCTCGGGCAAACTGCTAGAGCCCTCGTGTAGAGTGAGGGGCGTGCGGATGGGCCCTCTGCAGGGTTCCTGGGACTTGAGTCGCGATCCTCAGAGACCTTAGCTGGTTCTGTGCTTGTACGCTGAGCTCCTGGGAGGCCTGCCCTGCTGTGTAACAAGCAGCTGGCATCGGGGACAAGCAGGCTACACATGCTCACAGGCCATGGCCCGTCAGGCTCCCATGCCCCTTGGCCTCCACCAGGTCTAACGCCCCCCTATTAGGGGAGATGCAGCCTCGAAGGAGGAAACTGCACACGCAGTGATGCTCCAGCCCCCAGCCCCTCCTGACGTCACCCAAGGACCTGTGGGTTTTGCCACCATCACCAACAAGGGTCAGAGCTATGATTATTGAAACGGCAGCTGCCACTTACAGAGTGAACGGGGCGCCTTGAGTTCGCCACATTTGTACCTTGCAGATAGGAAACAGGGCAGGGAATGTGCTGAGGTCCCCGGGCCAAAGAGGGCAAGCTGGTTGGGCTCCAGAGCCGTCCCCCTGGAGCACGCAGGCAGATGAACCTGGCAAGTGGCAGCCCCTTCCTGTCTGTTTCTGGACACTTGTTGTGACAGATCACCAGAGCCCGGCAGGGCCGTCTCTACCTGCCGCCTTTCCTTAGGGCGCAGAGGGGGCTTCCCGGGGCTGCGCAGACCCAGGGGACTATTCTTAGTAAGAAGCAGCCTGCTCAGCTGTCCCTGTCCCCAGCTGTCCTACCCAGGGGACCCTCAGGTAATCTCTCCCTGACCCCTGCCCCCTCCAGGGGTCCCAGGCCCATCCACCAGTTGTTTCAACAGCTGCTAAAATCCAGGTCACAAGCCGGAGGCGCCTGAGCCTAGCCATCTGCTTCCTTCCCCTCTGCAGTGGTCGCAGGCTGCCCGCCTAAAGGCCACACCCTCCTCAAGTTCCCCTTCATCTGCCTGAGGTTGGGGACAACAAAGAAATCCCCCTGGAAGCCCCCATCTCCCCAAAGAGTCCTTGGAGTCATCCTCCCCATGTCCGTGCCTCAGTTTCCCCAGGAGTCCATAAAGGGCGAGGGGCCTATGGGTGCTGAACCGTGAAAATCGGCTGGGGGAGGCCTCGCTCAGCCCACACCCCCTCCCAGGTGAGCCCATGGAAGCTCCCCAAGGGCAGGGCCTGGGCCTTAGGACCCCTGAGTCCACCACTGCCCAGAGCAGCAGGGCCTAGCAAGTACTGTGCCCAGACTCAGTCAGCACCCACTGGGTGCCTGATCCTGCACCGGCCACTGGGGACCACAGGCGTAGCTGAGAGAGGACCAGCAAGGGGTGGGAGCAGAGGTGGGACACAGGGAACCAGCAGGTCCCATGCCACATTCCAGGCAGAGCCAAGAAACGGATGGAGGGCGTGGGAAGAGAAGGACTCGGCCCCGAGTGGTCTCCTATGATCTCTTGCCCCAGAAGTCACAGAGCTGGCGGCCACCTCACCCCCTCAGAGGGGCCTGACCCGATTGTCCTTTCTAGAGGCCATCAACCCCCAGCCTCCTCTAACAGGAGTGGAGAGCTTGGTCTCTCCTGCACCCTGTGCGACAGCTCGGGGCAGACCCCCCCACACCCAGGGAACTGGGCGCTGCCTCCCTGGGAGCTGGGGGGCTGGCAGCCCCCTTCTGGGCGTGGAGGGTTCGGCCCTGAACTGGTCGCACAGGGTGCTGGAGAGACACCAAGCTCTCCGCACCACCACAGGCAGCAGTTGGTCATTCACTAAATTCACACGGTCTATTTCTTCTTCTGCATGTGGTGCTGGGGATGCACCCAGGCTCTCACACATGCCACCACCGAGCTGTGCCCCCAGCCTGGTTTTTAAACAATGACTCTATTATCACCTGACTTGCAAAACTCCTGAAAGTTCACAATTGGTTCTCAGGAACCAGATGGGCCAGTTCCCCTGGACGCAAGGCCCACCTAAGACTCACCTCCCTACAACGCAGATGGGAGGAGGAGACAGAGAAGCCACAGGTCCTGACCTGCTCCGCCCCTATCCAGGGAGTGAGCAGGGCTGGGACCCCCTCTCACGCTGTGTCCCCTCCATGATCTAACTCATGCCTGGGCAGCCCTGAAAACTGCCCACACACTACCCTGTTTCTCCCTTAAGCCGTTCATAGATCCTCCTTGTAAAAGCTCCAACGGTACAGGATGTGTAGGCCAAGCTGGTTCCCAGTAGCTTTGCCCAGCCCAGACTGCGTTCCTGGCCCGTCCAGACCTGCCCATCCAGCAGCCGCGTGCTGCCAGATGTCCCCCAGGGCCTCAAACAACATCCTGATCCAGAGAGACCTCCCCAAGAGCCCATCTCAGGAGGCCCCAGTCTGCCCTTCACTGGGCCACACCCGTCCCCCTGGCTGTGTCTCCCTCCCTCTCCCAGCCTGCCACTGACCAGGACCCTGAAGTTCAGAACAGCTCCAAAGGCCACACTGCCTCCTGGGTCTCAGACGATCTGAAGGGTCTCACCCCTGCGCCATCAGGGCAGAAACCCAACCCGTCTCCATGGCCCCAGCTCATTTCAACTCTGGAATTGGGGCTGCTTTGCTTCCTCCCTCCCTCTATCTCTCCTTTCCTCCCTCCTTCCCTCCTCCCTCCCTCCCTCCTTCCTTCCTTCCTTCCTTCCTGTGCCGGGGATAAAACCCAGGGCCTCACACAGGCCCCAGAGTGCTGGACCGCTAAGCCACCCCAGTAGGCCCAGGGTCATTCCTGCTGAACTCTGACCTTTACCCAGAGCCCATGGAATAAAAATATTGAAATGGATAAAGTACAATCCAGGTAAAATATAATATTCTTAGGAGAAAAAAATAAAAGCAAGGGACTGTCATCCTTGACCCATTTCCCAAGGGAATGATTCAGAAAGTATAAAAACCCTTCTGACATTCACAAAACTAAAAAGCTAGAATCCTAGCGCCCCCAGACATAGGGGCAGGTCCTGAAGCTTCAGTGTCACTCAGACCAGCAAGCAGCCCTTAGAAGCCATTTCTCCAGGTCACATGGAGATGCAATGGTCACACGCTGCCTGATGGGCACCCAGCACACATGCAGGGGGAGGGAGCAAGGGAATTGGGAGCAGGGGACACAGGGATCTATTACCGTGAAAAGAGCATGTCATGATCCAGGAGCACGGAGAACTCCATCCTCCACCCTGATAGCCTCAGAAGGGAACGAGGGTCCCAGGCCAGGACCTGGTCCCTCGGGGAGTAGCCCCTGCCCTAACTGCTCTACAGGACATAGTTCCACAGGCTGTGACTAGATATCATGAAAAAAAAATTAACCTTTAAGTTCAAATAAGCTTGGGAAACAGCATCTTCAACACAGCTAAAGGGGCTCAAGGTATTCTCCCGCTGGACCCCCGGAGCCTTTAATGCACTCAAGAGCACCCTGGCCACACACGGGGGCTGGGAATAAGGGGAGCACCGGTCACCATCCACACCAGGACCTTCTGGAAATGGGAAGTAGTTGTAATAGAGGTAACGTCCTTGTAGTCCCAGTGGCTCAGGAGGCTGAGGCAGGAGGATCATGAGTTCAAGGCCAGCCTCAGCAATGGTGAGGCCCTAAGCAACTCAGTGAGACTGTCTCTAAATAAAATAGAAAATAAGACTGCAGATGTGGCTCAGTGGTTAAGTTCAATCCCCGGTACCAAAAAAAAAAAAAATAGAGATAATGCCAAGGGCACAGGCACTAAGCAGGAGTGTTCCAGGTGGAGCAGGTCCCCGGCTCTTGGCATCACCTAAGAAATCTCAGCTCCGGACTGCCCTTGTCCCCGTCACCCACGGCACCTCTCCCCCTCCCACCCCACGGGGCTCCATCCTCCTGGGGATCACAGCGTGCCTGCTGGGCTGCCTGGTGTAAATCTGTGCCCACCTTGGGCACACGCCTAGGAGATGGACCCACATAGACTCCCCTCCATGCCCCAGCTGACACACAGCTGGTCCCCACCCCACATGCCCTCTGTGGTGGCCCCAAGTCTGCGGTGGCCCCGACTAAGGAACACACATAAATTCCCACGAGGCCCAGACAGCTTCCTGCTCGAAGCCCCTTCTCTCCCCAGAGGTCACCGGGCAAAGGAGGCAGCCCACAGGGAGCCCCCCTTGCCACAGGGAGCGCCCGTTGGCAGCATCTGCCAGGCTTGGGAGGACTGAGTCTGTCCCTCCTGGGCCACCCTGGCTGAGGCAGGGACCCTCTGAAGGTCAGCCATCCGCTGTGGCATCCATCCAGCAACACCGCCACTATGCCACCGTCCCTAAAGAAGGGACCTCAGACCACCCACCGGGTGGCTGACTCCACAATAAGACTGCAGCATCCTGCCTGAGCCTAGGGAGCTCAAAGCCCCCCGTCCCCACTGCTCCCAACCTGGGGGACAGCGCTCCCACCCAGGAAGAGAGTGATGTGGTGGCTTACCCCGGAAAGAACAAAGCCAGCTCCCCATGGAGAAGCCATGCAGCCGCTGGGCCACCGGGCAGCAGGCGCTGGCCCCCGCTGCCCACTCTGATCAATAGTGGACGACGTCAGGAGCGTCAGGCGGCCCTGCCCCCGGCACAGCCCCGGAAGAGCTCAGCTTGGCTCCCCCATCCTGAAGCCATTAGAAAGTTTAGGATGTGGTTAGGGGAGGGGGCGGAGGAGCTGGCCCTGAAGGGAGCGGCTGACCTTGGCAGCCTGGGCAGGGACACCTGAGGCAGCAAGGGCTTCGAGGATCCTGGTCCTGCCCTGCTGGTACCCTGGAAACCACATCCCACCAGGGGTGGCTCGAGAAGGAGCCTGGGAACGGCAGGGACAGACATCACCCTGCAGTCTGGGGCCCGCTGCCACACCTGTGGGCCATTCGCCAGCTCCGTGTCCACAGCACCCATGGGTGCAGGGGCCTGCAAGCTCAGGGCTCCAGGACAGGAAGGCTGTGGAGCCGCCCTGTGTAACGGAGCAAGAGCTCCACCCTCAGGGCCAAATCTGTGACTCACACACTTGACTTCCACCTCCGAGTCTCCAGCGTGAGGCAAGGCCACACTGGGGACAGTAGTGACCAACATTACAAGGACACATGCTCCTCTCATTCCCACCTGCTGGCCACAGGAGCAGAGTGTCTGCAGTTGCGACTGGCCTCGTCCCCAGGCAGCCCCTGGTGGGAGGCGGCCAGTGTCAGCTCTAGACCAGGGCTGGATCAGGAGTCTCAGCTCCGACCCCACACCCTTGGCCCTGTCACCTGGGCAACCTGACAGAATGCTCCAAGACCGAGTCTTGTCCTTGTTTTATTGTTAACTTTTCTTGTTGCCCAGGTGGGGCTGCAATTCCTAGGCTGGAGCAACCTCCTGCCTCAGCCTCCTGAGCAGCTGGACAGCAGGCCAGTCATCTTGTCTTTACCGTGAAGAGAGGGGCGGGTCTGGGAGCACACACCTCTGACCCCAGCTGCTCAGGAGGCTGAGGCAGGAGGATGCCAAGTTCAAGGCCAGCCTGGGCAACTCAGGAAGGCCCCAGGTCAAAATAAAAAGGTCTGGGGAGACGTGGTCCAGTGTAAAGTGCCCCGAGTGTGACCCCCAGTGTTGCTACAAATTAAAAAAAACAAATTTAGAGAAGGTGACGCCGGGGTTGTTCATGAGGAAGAGCTGCCTAACCACCCCCACAGAGCTTGTGTCAGGTGGGTGACAAACACTGTCCTTCACAGGTGGGCATCTCTGGGGTGGGGCCACAGCACAGGGGCTGGAGAGCCCTTCGAGGACCCACCCGCCCCGTGGGCGCCTCAAGCACAGAGCGAGCACAGTGGTGGCTTGTGCCTGCCCGCTCCACTCGGCCGCCCCGGGGTCCTTGGCCAGGTCCCCAGAACCCTTCTTATTATTAGGGCCAGGAGGGATACCTTGGCCACTGCAGCCCAGCTGCCCCTGCCTGAGGTTTAGTACCAGGCCCAGAGAAGGCATAGACCTGTGGTTCAAGGGGAGGCCACACCCTGCAGCAGCCTCTAGCCTCCAGGCCTGAGCCCCGCCTCCCATCTCAGGCCCAAAACAAACTGCAAGCACCTGGGCACCAGTGTCCTCGCCTGGGCAAGCCTGCCCTGACTGCCTCTGGGCAGTCTGGGATCCCTGTCCTGTCCTCCCTGCTCACGCAGGTGCTCCCAGACGCCCTCCTTCCTGGGCAGGTCCTGGTGGAGGCCCCTTCGCCCTCCCACACTCTGCTGTTCCTGCAGCCTTGGCTCTGGGGACCCGCAGGACCCTCCCAGCTCCATGGGGTGGGCAGGGGCAGCCGCCAGGCCGCATCCCTTGCCAGACCCTCTGCCCGGGGGCTGAGCTCATGGTTTGGGAGGCAGCCGAGAACTGATTCCCAGAGCAGATGCCAACTGACACGCCAGCTCCCAGCCACTGCCAGTGCCCTCGTGCACAGTGCCAGCCTTGGACAGGAGGTGGGCACCCTAGAATTAGAGAGCAGTTCCGCAGGCGAGTGAGGAAGGCCGAGAGGCCAACAGGAGGGAGGGACTGTCCTTGCCTGGCACTCCCGTCTGCCCCTCCCCCGGGGCTCCTGTCACTTGAGACCCTGGAATAGGACAAGGTCTGTGGTAGCCGGGCTCCCCTGCTCCTCGCCCAGGTTTTGCTCCCAGCTCACTGCCCCGGAGCCTGAGTGTCTGAATCCACCCGCTAAGGCAGCAGCTGGCTCCAGGGGGGAAGCAGGCACTGGGCGTCACCAATGGCCACAGGAGGGGTGGGCACACCTTCCTCTGTCTCTAGAACTGCCCAGCAGGAAACAGACCCAGGGGTCCCCCAGCTCCTGCCCCCAGGGGCTTCCAGACTCCAGGGCCTGAGACTAGGAAGCAACCAGGGGTCACACTGCAGTCTTAAAATGATGTCACCATCACTCAGCCCAGAGGCAGAGGCACAGCTGACTGGGAAGGAAGATGAACCCAGCTCATGTTTATCATCAGAAAAAAGCAAATACACAGCAGCTACCCTCTGGCAGGAAGACCAAGGTCAGGTGACAAAGGCTGTCAGGGCAGGGGTCTTCTGGAGAAGATTGGCCGGGAGCAGGGGCTAGCCCCGAAGGACCCTGGGACTCCTGGAGGGAGGGACTGAGGCTGGAGCACTAAACCTGGCCATGCCCATGGCCCTAGTGACCTAGGCAGGTGCCAGATCTCCATGGGCCTTCTTTCCCCCTCTCAGAGCAGGGCCATGGGTATGCCCACCTCCTCAAGTGGGGGGAGCACAGAGAGGGCTGTTCAAAGCCTGCTCAGTATTTAATTAAAGGGATCACAGATAGACATAAAGAACTTGCAGTGACCCACTGGCCCCCAGGTTGGTCACACAGCAGCCTGTGTTCCCAGAAAAACCCACTACCCCAAGCAGCTCCCTGCCCGCCCTTGATCCCACGCACCTTCCTTGGAGCCAGTGGCTGCCGCCGCCGCCGCCGCAGAGGCCGAGGCTGACCCAGAGGACGTCCTACCCATGGGGCTGGAATGCTTCCCCCCGCGGCCAGGGGGCTTCAAGCCACTGGGTTTCTGCATGGTGGAGCCACTCGGAGGGTGGATGAGGGTGGGCGCAGGTCACATTCTCTCTGCCATCCTCTCTTCCTCACCTGCCTGCGGGTAGGAAACAGGAAGCTGCATCATAACCGTGGTCAGCACTCACAGGCGTGGGCCAGGCCAGGGCCCGTCCACTGCAAACATGGCCACGCCTGTCTCCCGGAGCCAGGTGGTGGCAGCCCCATAGCTCCAGACGCTGACAGGAACCCTCGCAGGACTTTGGCACCCCCACCCTGTGCACAAGGACCATCGCCACACCAATTCTAGGTGGGGAGACAAAGGCACAGAGACGCAGCAGACAGGGGCCCAGGTCACACAGTGTGGTGGTGGGGCCAGGTTGAAAAGCAAAGCTAACCCGTCAGGATCTGCAGGAAGTGCTACACCAAGCCCAGGGGGGCCGGGCTGAGTGGCCTCCCCCAGGCTGGGTATGGCTCTCGCCAGTCAGGCAACCCCAGGGGGCATGTTCCCAAGGCCCCAGGCCCTGCAGGACCCGCCAGCGTCTCATGTCCCTCCTGAGGTGGCCTGGACCAGGCAGCACCTGATTCCCGCCATTAGCCTGTTCCTCCGCCTTGCTTTTGGGCTCATGGTCCTGCTCCCACTGCCCACTGCACTCCAGGCTGGGGACACCCAGAGGAGGCTGTAGGCCACCTGCCTCACCCCACACCAGGCGGGGCCTGCTCTCTGGGTACCTCTCCACCATTACAGCTCCACAGTGCCCTGTGACAGAGACACGGGGACAGTTCAGCAGGTGGGGGGACACCTCAGCAGGCAGGGGGACACTGTCACTTGCAACCAAAAGAGATCTGAGTGCTGGAAGCCAACCTGCACAGCAGGAATATGCAAAGGGTCCTCAAAACTAACTGGCTTAGGCCAGTAAGATGTGTCCTGGCACAGCCAGGGGAGGGGACACCAAAACCAACATTCCAAGTCCCTGGTGCGCTGGGGATTCTGGAGGCCGGGAGCCACTTGGTTGGGCCGGGGGACCGGGGGCTGCTCCCTCGCTGTTCAGAACCTGGCCCGTGGGCCTGGGGAGGCTGAGTCCCATCTCACTGAACCAGCAGCAAGAGCCTGCAAGGTGGTCTCTGGTGACAGTGGATGTCACCGGGTCTTCTTTACCAGGCCATCCTTGGTCCTGACCGGGAAGCCTGGCACAAACGGTGAGTGAATGAGTAAACGGGGTGGCCCAGTGGGTGGGGCCTGGGTACCTTCATCTCTTCAGAACCCTCACAGTGACCAGCCCACGTGGCCACCCAACCTGGCCGCTCTTAGGGCAACCATTCCGGCCTCCCCGCTAGCCAGCATGCACCCAGGGGTGAGGACTAGATGAGAACCGTGTCCCTGGCATTGGAGGCTGCCCAGTCCCTTGCTGCCGACGCCCCGGACGTCCTCACCACCAGCTTGACACTTCCCACCTCCAGGCCCCCGGGCGGGGGGGGGGGCCTCTCCTCCTCCCGCCTCACCTCACCTACTGGACACCTACCCGCCGCCCCCTTGCCCCCTCGAGGGAGGCTGCCAGCAACCTGGCCCTGGAGACCTGGGACCGCTCGCCTGGGGGTGCTCTGTGCATGGCACCTCCTGGGAATCTGCGGGTGAGCCCAGGCTGGTCAGCGTCTGTCCCCTGAGAACACAGCCAGAGACAGCGATCCAGAAACCCTACATGGGGACACATCTGAGGTGACACAGAGGGCACAGGTCCCCGGGGACAGCTCCCACAGGTGCCCTCCTGGACCACAGAGATGCCTGTGAGCTTGCTGCAGGCCAGAGGTTCACTGGATGTGGCCTTAGTCCCCTTGGTCCCCAGGCGAGAGGTAGTGGCCTTCTTATAAGGGGAACACCAGAGGCTCAGCAAAGTTCAAGACTCACTCAAAGTCACCGCCAGCCACTCTGTGCTGGAATTGGACCCAGGGCTGGCCCCTCCCCGCCTCCCAGCCTCCCAGCAGGGCCCTGGAACAGCATTTATGAGACCCCTGTCCTCTGGGGACAGTGTCTGCCCACTTACTGAGGCTCACAAAGGAGACCAGGGAGCTGGCAGGAAGACCAAAGGGAGGACCAAGGGGGCATTCAGTCTTGGGCCACCAGCAGGGGCAGGAGAGGGAGCAAAGGGGAGTAGCCCCGGCCCAGGGACACAGGGAGGGGGAGGGAGAGGCGCATGGTGGCGGGAGGGGGAGGGGCTGTGTGACTCAGTCTTGCTCATGGGACACAGGAAGCCGAGATGCTTGGGAAACATGGTGATAAACTGGCCTCTGGCCACACTGTGGCTGGGGCTGGCGGGGGAGCCAGATGGGAGGAGGGCTCCCACCCAGCCAGGAGGCCAGCTGCACCCCCTGTGCGTGGGGAATGGTGCAGAAGACTGAGGAGGGGACACACCCGGGAGCCCCAGGCACAGCCTCAACTCTCCCACCTCATCAGAATCCTCCAGGGACCAGGCTCAGCCGGGATGGGCTGGCAGGGTGGGTGACCTGAGATGGACAGGCCCTCTGTGCCACCGTCAGTGCCTTTTACCACAGACAAACCGGCCGCACTGCAGGGTTCCCATCTCAGTGCTTGGCAGTGGCCCAGCCCTGGTGGGGACGAGGCCATGGACTCTTGGCAGGGGGTGTCAGGTGGGGCAGCAGGAGCCGGGGACCAGGAGAAGGGTACCCTTCCAGACCCGCCACTGAGCCCCAGCCACTGCTCGCCCGTGGGCGTCTGGGCCAGGAGACCTGCGTGGCACAGACACTGCTGCTGGCTGAGGCTGGGCTGTGCCCACGCTCCCTTGAGCCACTGCCCATCCCTCCTACATCTGGCCCAGCAGTTCACGGTACCCAGACCCACAGCACCCCGAGAGGGACTCAGTGCTGCCCCTGACCACTTGCTGCAAGTCCTAAGCCTTCCTGGCACTGCAGAGGGACAAGAGCCCAGGGCAGGGGTCCCGGAAGGATAGAATGCCTGGGGCCCCACAGGAGGAGCTGGAAGAAGCACAGACCACACTCGGCCAGCCAGGCAGCCAGGGGCTCAGGGTGGTGAGGCTGGAGTGGGCACCAGAGACTGGGAGGGCCAGCGGGGTCTGGTGGCCACCCCACAGCATCGGGCTGGGGGAGCTGGGAGCTAGGGAAGTACCTCAGGCAGGAGACGGACAGCACCCAGTCAGCACCACCAGCAATTCGCAAATCTGCTGGGGTTTAGTGCCTCTGGGAGAGACAGAGAGGAGAGAGAGGGGGGGGGAGAGAGAGAGAGGGAGGGAGGGAGGGAGAACAAGAGAGAGAAAGGAGAGAGAGGCGAGAGAGAGAAGAGAGAGTGGAGAGAGAGAGGGGAGAGAGAGAAAAAGGAAAGAGAAGAGAGAAGAGTGAAAGAGTGGAGAGAGAGAGGAGAGAGAGGGAGGGGAGGGGGAAGGGAGACAGAGGGAGAGAGGGAGGGGGAAGAGAGAGAGAGAGGAAGGGAGGGGGAAGAGAGAGAGAGAGGAAGGGAGGGGGGAGAGAGAGAGAGAGAGAAGGGAAGGAAGGGAGGGGAGGAAGGAAGGAAGGAAGGAACAAAGGAAGGAAGAGAACAGAACCCAGCGGGCCTGGAGCGGGAGGACAGTCCCCAACTCCTGCACACCACCAGAGGAGGGACAAGCCCCAGACACCATGCACCCCTGGGTGCCGACACCAGGCCCAGATTCCCCAAGCCAACGGAGAGCCTCTGGGTGGGCCTGATGCGGCCCCCAAGCCCCATCTGCATTGGAAACCCAGTGATGTCCAGTGCCCAGGTGCGGCAGGACCGCTCAGAGCTGGCACCTCCTGCCCATCCCTCCAGCTTGGAAGGAGGCTCACTTTGATGGAGGCTCAGGGAACTTGTGAGGCAGACCTGGGTCACTCAGGGGTGAACCCAGCTCCCCACGTCCTCCCAGCACAGGGCAAGTAGAGGGCAGGGCGGGGACGTGCCCCTCCTCGGGATTCCTGGCAGCCTTCAGGCAGACGCTCAAGCTCTGAGCCTCACATCATCTGCCCCTCAGCCCGAAAGCCAGGGAGAGGGCGCCGTCTGCCCGAGCCCCGAGCCCCACGCCCACCCTCTGTTCTCGCCTGGTCACCAACCCCTGGCAGGAGGCTGGAGCCAGCCCTGGCAGTGCGTGCCCAGCACACACGGCTGCCAGCCACAGTACAGGCACAGAAGAGCCCAGGAAGAGCAGGGCTGGGACGGCCCCAAGCGAGGTCTCCAGTCATCCTGAGAGCACCAAGAGGCCAGTGGCCATGGAGATAAGGGGGGCAGCTGAGATCCAGGATGGGGAGGGGCCTGCTCATACCTCCAAGCAGAGCTGGGGCTGGAACCAGGCTGCAGGGGGCGCGGCTGCAAGGAGAGGAGGGGGTGCAGCTGGCAAGATGGTGGCAGGGCAGACAGGCCACACGGGAGTGAGGACAGCAAGTGCAGGGGGACAGGCCATGGCAAGTGCCCCCAGGCTCGTAACCTCTCTGGCACCTGAGGCTGAGCCAAGTGGGCGCCTGGGTTCTGGTCCCACCCTACATCCCCCCATCTCTGGGTGCAGGGGCCAAGTTTCCCATTTGTAAAGAAGCCAACTGCCTGGCCCTGCCAACAGCCTGGGGAGACTGCAGAGCCCTGGAAATGGCCAGTCTGTCTGTCTTGCCTGAGCCGGGGACACACACACACACACACACACACATACACACACACACACAGAGTTGGCATTCTCAAAATCAGGGCACAGACGTGGCCCTGAGCCAGGGCCAGCTGTGTGGCCACCCACAGCTGAATGGCTGGAGCCCCCTCCTCGGGCCCACCATACCAGGCAGGCGGCAGCCTGGTCTGCTGGCTTGGCTCCCCACCAGGCCAGGGAGAAGGGCCTGGGATCAACCACAGCCCAAGCCACCCTTGGACCCCCTTTTATTCCTATTTCACAGAATGAGAAACTGAGGCCCACCGTAGAGAAGTAAGGCACCCGAGCATAGAGCAGGTGACCAGGACAGCAAGACTCTGCTGTCCAAACAGAGAGAAGCTGTGCTGGGCAGGAGGGCCAGGGGCCC